AAACGGATATTTATCACGTTATGGGGACATTATGTCCCCATAAGGATAGGTAAACCCGCTCGCACACACACACACATACACACAGCTTTGTAATTATACATTTGTGGGGACTCTTCATTCAATTCTATGGGGAAAACTCTAATCACAACATGATGACCTGAACTCCTACCCAGCCCTAACCTTAACCATAAGTAACCAAATATAAGACTTTTGGCATTTTTACTTTTTTGATTGCATTCACAGATCTTTGAGCGGACCTGAAAAATACTCCCCACAACATCAAAAAAGCAGGTTTTTATTACATTGTGGGGGAAATTCGGTCCCCACAATGTAATATAAACCTAATCCACACACACACACAGAGTCCACACATTCATATCTTTATGGGCACTCTCCATTCATTTATATGAACATAACTCTAATCCTAACTATGACAACCCATACCCAGCCCTAACCTTAAGCATATGTAACCAAACAAAAAACAAAATACATAACTTTTTTTGATTGTATTCGTGGGTTTTTTTCAAATGGAGGTTATCCCTGTGGGGACCAAACAAATGTTCCCCACAAGGTAAAAAGTTACAGATTTTTATCACACTGTGGAGAAATCTGGTCACCACAATGTAATACTTACAAGAACACCTGATTTTGTGTTTTGGGGAAAATATCCCATGCAAACATATAAACTCCACACTTGCACACCAATGAGGGCAGGAGGCAACCCAAAGGTCTGAGTTTCCCCCCTACAGCTGTTACACTGCTCATTGTCTGAATTGTCCCCTATATACATTTTCTTTTCTTACTTCCTTCTTTTCGCTCCACCACAGTGATCTCTCAGCAAAGGTTCTAAATATAACTGGCAATATGTTCAGCTTCCATGGGTGTTGTGCAACGAATTCATGATGTTTTCTTATCAGTGACGGAAAAGGAAAACATATTTTTCTGCATTGAGACTATGCAGGATTTTCATTCATGTACACATTATAGTAAAACCAAGTTCTGTATGGTAGGATTATGTAAATATTGCCAGCTACGAGTTTCAGTGTGAGGCAGGAGCTGGCTGTTCAGCTTAATAAGAAACGCAGAGTGACATTTCATTTGCATCAGATGATACAGCAGGACATAATTCAGTGTAACACATTTTTTTCTCCAGAGAGTTGTTGGGCAGCATAGTAATTTTTCCAGAGTGAATCAAACACAGAACAGAAAAAAAACCAAATTACTAGTATTGGGAGAACTGAAACATTTTCCCTGAACCCTTTGAAAAAGTGTGTTCCTAAAACAATGTATTTATACTGTCAAGGTACAAATCAAAAATAAAATTAGTTTGCTTACTAAAGAGTTCTTGATCCAGTGTGGTCAAGTCATTGGAAACCAGCATGATCATGGCTGACTGATGCAGGTGCTTGAAGCAAAGCAGACCCAGATGACTGTGTCTTTGCGCTGGATCAGGCCTACATGTGAATCCATTCTTCAGACGCTGTTATAAGCCGGATGTCTGAGCCCTGTGGATGAACAGTGAGTTTGGGCCAGATGGCTCCGAACAGGAGGCAGAAGGGAGAGCAGAAATATTTTGTTGATAAATATGTAGGTTATACAGAATTTGTGCCAACAATCTGCAAAAGACCCAGTAAACTAAAGGTAATACATATGAGAATAAATCAAAGCACTCTTTATGAAGAGAAAAATAGGTCTAGGTATTAAAAGTACATTAAAACCACTTCTAATTTTATTCACTTTGAAATAGACTGTGATGTGCAAATTAATTTTTTTTTATTAAATTACGTTCCACTCTAATGGCTCAACAATGCATCTTTGTGTCTACCTGGAAATGAGAAAAGGGAGTATTTGTAATGTACAGCATGCCACACTGCAGAATTACAGTCTGTGGCACTGTTTTCAGGAGATGCTGCCTTATTTGGTTTATTTGCAGAATGTTCATTTGTTAACTGTTTGTGGTTTGTGTTTACAATACAACTGAAACTGTTTATACTATGAATGTCCAACACAATGGCTATATCCATCCATCCTTCAACTCCTGATTCTGGAACAGCACAAAATATCTAAAAAATAATACAAATACTTTATGTGTGTGCTCTGTATTTTTTGAAAACATGCCACTGAAACCGTGAATTAAATACCAGTACTAGAATTTGCACAATACTAAAAAGAGTTCAAATGTATTGGCACCCTACATCCGTACTTACAAACTAACATTTCTGTCACTGGGCATCTTTTTCCATAAGCCTTGCAATTTCATTGATTTTGTCTTGCTTTGGAAATTAAATCAGAAACGTCAGAAAGCTCACCGAAAACCTCAGGTAACACATTGCTAGACAACTCCACACATCATCCAACCACCTTCCTGGCTGCTACTTGTATGCATGCACACATATAAATTTAAAAAGTGTTACCTATGTATTTAATCACTGAGTAATTATTTTCATTAACAATTATCAGTGAATTAACATGCTGAATTGTTGCATTATTTTTATTAACATTCAAATGATTAATATTAACACTTCTTGTGTTTGCTTCTGAAAATTCCTATGCCTTATCTCATTTTTAGAAGACTCGAGTTCCGGAGACAGAGCTGTGCTCTGTGTGTCGCAAGAGGGTTTACCCTATGGAGTCTCTGATAGCGGACAAGCAGAACTTCCATAAAACCTGCTTCCGCTGTGAGCACTGTGGCGGGAAGCTAAGGTAATGCTGGGCAGGCAATGCGTGTTTAAAACGCCAGAAAGATACTGAATTGCATCTTCATTTTCATGTGTGTTAATTGTCTTCATACTATAGTAATTCTGTGGTCTTTTCCAGTCTGGGAAACTATGCCTCTCTCCATGGACATATGTTCTGTACGCCACATTACAAACAACTTTTCAAGTCCAAAGGAAATTACGATGAAGGATTTGGACAGAAACCCCATAAGGAGTTATGGAACTCTAAAAACCAAAATAATTCAAATGTAAAAGCCACAATAAATACCTCCCCTGAGAAAGACGAGTCAAGCGACTCTATAGCACAGAGCAGTATGGGCATATCAGAGAAGGAGATGACAGACACAAAGGAAAAGGATATGGATAAATCTTCTGATGAGAACAAAAAGAACACCAACAAAATGTCTATTGTATGGCCTCCACAGACTGAATCCCCAAAGAAAGCTTTCAGCATTGAAGAAGAAGTTAAGCTGGTCAAGCCAAGCTGGCCTCCAGAAGAAAGCTCTGTACGGACCTTCACTGACACATCAACAGATAAAAGACAGTCCAAGATGTCATCCTTAAAGACCTCCGAAGAAGTCAAAAAGCAAGCGGCTCATGGGAACAAAGACGGGCAAAATCCGGTGAAGCAGGAGATGATGCTGCCCACTGTGGAGGTCATGTCTTCTTCTGTGGAGGCAGCAGGACCTGCAGATGTTGCTGAGAAGTTAGAAGCAAGTGAGATGGATGGAGTTGTAAATGGTGGCGATGTACCTGCAGGACTACAAGATGGTAAAGAAAGTGTGGGTGGTGTTGGGGGAAAGTTGGAAGAGAGAGAAACGAAGGAGCATGGGGATGCTGCAGAAGGAGAAAATACTGTGCAGGTCACAGTAATTGATAATCATGTGCCACAAGAACAGGAAATAAATGTAAATTCCAACAACAACAATAATAACAGCAACAACCTGCTGTTTGACAATGGAATACTCTGCCCAGAAGTTGATGACAATGGACTCTTTCCAAGGCCTCGGTTCTCTGCCACAGAGTATCTCAGAAAAGACGCATGTGATCATTCAGAGGAATCCATAAATGACTTGAAATGCACCCAAAACTATGATGGTTTACAGATAGCTAGAAAACAAGATGCCTTTGTCCCATCCGGTGCCAAATGTGTGAATGCAGGAAAGGGTTGGTTTACCAAAGACATATTCACAGATGGGACTGAATCTGAAAATGTCTCCTCTGGGAAAATGCTCCACTTGAATGCTACATCTGTGCAAGAAGACATGTGTGTGGGATGTGACAATTCCAGTCTGCCATCTGATTTCAAGGAAGACATGTTCAGCGATCCCTCTACTGAGACGCCTATTGTTTCTTTGTTAGATGACCTTCTGCATTTTGGAATTATGCCAAGTGAAAATGCAGGCAGTACAACAGGAGAATGGAAAAAGGACGAAAGGCCTGACTTCTTTGATGCAAATATTGGAGGCATTTTGGAAAAAGACTTGGAAATGGGGGAGACCGAACAAGAGATGCTGTCTGTGGAAGAACAAATCAAACGAAATCGGTATTATGATGACAGTGATGGTGACTGAACACTGAGTTATGTTTGATTAAGAGTTCTGTATGCAAATTTCTTAATATCATGTCACATAAATGATGTACTTATATCAGTATCTACTCATATTACACACACGTCCATGGAGAAACACTTAAATTAATTCAATGATCCATCATAATGTTCTCCAGTTCATTTGTATTGCTTTCTCATGACATGCTGTGTTCCAGATCTTAACTTCTGAATGTCTTTGCTATAAAAGTTTTTGATTTTAAGCACCCAGTGTGCATTTTAAAAATGGAAATTTTAAGGCGTAGTGATACAAATACTACCAAATGAATAAAACTGTGTTTGTTTTGGATGATTTTATTTTCTTCTGAGCAGCAAATACCTGAATATTTTTCTGGCTTTATTCATCTGACAGATTTGTCATTTTCTCCTCTGGATCAGGTCTATGAATATTTTACTGCTAATTGATAAATGCACAATAAAGCAATAACTTTTTTTGACATGTTTGCATGAGTCTTCTCTCATATGTTTTTGTTACAAATCACTTTTAACAAGTGGGAATACAGGTATGATACAAATTATCGTATTATTTGTTTGTATGAAAGGATTATTGTGCCACCCAAAATTATCGCACACTTGTGAAAATAATGAGTAAAGGCTGTGAAAGAAAGTCTTTATTCTTCATTAGCTTGAGCTTTTGCTTAAATTATGAGAAAATTCTCAGTTTTTACTGAGGTAAATTTATTCAAAGAAAAGAAATCCTCACATAAAACATTTTTTTTTCTCAAAAACAATATGTCACGATTACTGGTACTCCTGGATTTAGTTTTTTTTTTTTTTGGTATTCTCTGCCTTAGCCGTGATAAAAACACAGAGTTTTATAATGCGACACAGTTGAAACTATCTGAGCTCATTCCTTCAGTCTCTGTAGATTCTTCTCTTCAGCATGTTCCAAAGGTCTTCAGCAGGCTTTAGTTCATTGGACTAGGGTGGCTAAAACCTTGTTTCTTTGGTCAGTGAACCATTTTTGTGTGGATTTGGAAGCAAGCTTTTGACCACCGTGCTACTGGAAGATCCAAATGCAGTCCAACCCAGTCCTAGCCTCCTGGTTAAGAGGCAGCCAAAGTCTGATACTTGTTTTGGGTCCTTGATTTCATCCTGAAAAGATTCCCAGGGTTGTTGGAAGAAAAACAGCATCACAGATCCACCGCCATGATTCGCAGTGGGGATTCAGATCTGTTCTTCATGTTGTTTACCTATGTTGTCAGCAAAACCACCAGTCAACATTGCAGTAATGTTTAGAAACTCTGGGCGCTTTACTAGTGGTTTGACATCAGCAGGGACTTTCTTCTGGCAGGTTTGCCAAATAGGTTATTGGCTGGAGGTAGCATCATTTTAGGTGCCACTGCTACAGTTGTAAAACTGTGATCCGTGGAGGAGATTCTCCAATTACCTCCTTTACAGTAGGTGGAGGCAAAATAGGATTGCATCCTATTCCAGGCAGATTCATCGCAGCTCTGTGACAAACTTCTTAATTATTGGACTAGTGGAAATGGGGGTTTTCAAGCATGCAGCTATTTAATAGCCATTTATTTAGTTCAGAACTTGTTTTCTTGTTGCATTAGTGTATTCTCTGGTCGTCCCCATGTTGATGGATGGGTTGGCCTGTGTGTTACCTCATATTTATTCCCCAATGGAACAGGAAGTCACGCATCACTAATTAAAGGTTCCTAAATTTTTATGTGTGCTCGTAAAAGGTAAAATGGGAGTGTGAATACATGGCAATTAGTTTTTGTTAAGGGTGCCAGTACTTGTGACATGTGTGTTCTGAGGGAAAAAAACTTTTATTTGTGAGGATTTTATTGAATAAATGTATTTCAGTGAAAGGTTAGATTTCTCTCATAGTTTGAGGTTGAGTTAGTGAACAAAGAAGACATCTTTTTCCATAGCCTCGTTAGGCTATTTTTATCAAAGGTCGCAGTAATTCTGAAGGGCACCGTAACCTACACCTCAGCGCACCTGGATTATTTGGTCTTGTGAAGAGGTCAAGGGCTCATCCTCTGTTATGGGGGTCTGAATGTGCTGAGGATCATTAAGCATGGCTTTAGTGCCCCTCGAAAGTTTACCTTGAAATAACTGCTCACAACTTTTAATGGTCCATGTTTTAGTAGATGTTTAAAATATTCTACATTGACATGACATGGGCAATTACTGAGATTGATTTTATAAAATAGGTTTTATTAATTTTCAAACTGTAATGTAGCCCATGGAGTCTGCCAGTATGTAGTGGGGCACACTTAAAATTATTATCTTCTTAGTCTTCTTCTTATTAAAACAGAATATAATATTATATAATATTATTACATTCCCACTCTATTCATTTTAGGAAAGTCACACTTCTAAAAAAATGCAGAATATAATAATATTATAGGATTTCAGATATAAAATACTGTCTTTTCAATACCAAATTGTATTACTACAGTTTTGACATTTAAAACTTTATTTAGTTATACTTTTCAAAGACACCTGACTCCCGATTAACCACACGGTCTTTTTTCGGGACAGTTCGACGCCTTCACTTTGCCTAGTGGTGTGAAAAAGATTCATACATGACTGATTAGCGGAGTGAAGGGAAAATTAAATTTTGAGTTGGCACAACTTTGACTTCCAGCTAGCTGCTTTTAAGTAGCATTGACGACGTTCAAGAGAAACGATGTAATCTTATCTCATTTTCTAAGATTTTGCCACCTGGTGTCTCTGCAGAGTACAGGTTATCTAATTATTGCAGGTTTTTAATGACTTCAGTTTTGCTAACTGAAGATTGTGCTTGAGAATAACTTAACCTTCGCTATTAACCCATTACCGATATTCCACCTTCAGGCGATTCAAATTATGGATGTCCTGCAACCAAGATTATATGACCAGTGTTATTCTTCCATTTCCTAGATTTTCTCAGAAATATTAATATTTGAATAACGTTCATTCAGCACCGATAGGCTGAGAGCCTGCAGAGGAGCAAAAAGCAGCTACATTTAGCATGCATGTGCGATGAAGCTTGGTGCACGTTTCTGTACATGAGTTACACTGTATAAAGCATGGACAAGGTTATTGTGATTAATACAATACTGGGACACTCAAGCTTGGAGCTACAGATGAAACCATTGTACACAGAAGGGGGGGCGGTGAAGGAAAATATACCCCAGCTGGGTGGGTTAATGTAGAAATTTTGATCACCAGCTACTGGGTTTTTCAGGAGGTAATGAATGAATGAATGATCAAACCTTACAAAATGCTCTTACTAATATTACTACAAAGGAAATGCTTTTCAAATACAGTCCCCTTAATGAGATTAATGTTTATAATGCTGTTACTTTTATAGAAATTGTTTCCTGATGACTTATAGAGTATACAGCTATATCTGAGTGAAAATGCTTTACATTTTTTAAAAACCCAGCCTCCTGACCGGGGCTGACTCTAGCTATAGGCAGGATAAGCTGGCACCCAGGGCCTCTGAATTACTGTGTCGTGGCTGAAGTAGAATGATGGTGGTGGGGGGGGGGGGTCCCAGGTAAAGCCCCCCTAGGGCTGCTGAAAAGGTAGAGCCGGCCCTGCTTCTGACTTATAACATCAGTCTAAATAAATGTGTAGATATCTGGTTTTGGCAAGTGAATTTGCTCCTAATATCCTCCTACAAACCAGAAACAGTGTATATAAGCTGGACTACTTTCCAGGATTACTCACATTCATAACTTCCCTCTGGGGATCAATATATTGCATTGCTTCCTCTGTGTAGTGCAACTGGCAACAAAAGCAGCCTGGGAATTTGCTGTTGGTCAGGGGACTCCCCCTTGGTATATTTTGCCATTCCCGATCAACCGGTTGGCCACCAATGAAATAGGTTTTCCATTATCCTTTAATCATCTCCTGCAATCGCCCTGGAAACACGCCGAGATCGGCCGACGGGTTGGGTGCCTCTGGCTAGACTGGCCCTCACAAGTCCGGTCCACCAGGAAAACTCCAGAACTTCCCATCCGCCAGTCTGTGCCTGGTGTGTGTTAAAACATGATACACAGTACCAGAAAAGAAAATAAAGACGCAATTATTAGTGCACAGAAACATTTAAATGCCCTGTTCTTAACCGTGGCAACCTGGTGCTAATGAATTCTAAATTGTGTATGAGTTAAGCTGACACATAATGGCAATTTCTTCTGCCTATTACTATGGGTGCAGTAGAGCCAAGTTGTGTTGCAGTGAAAGATACCATCCATCCATCCATTTTCGGAAACCACTTAATCCCAACTGGAGTCGCGGGGGAGGGGACCGGAGCCTATCCCGGGAACAATGGGCGCAGGCAGGAACCAACCCAGAGCAGTCGCCAACACACCACAGAAGAGACCGTCATGGAAACTGAAAATGCACCTAACTTCAATATAGCACCCTCCCTGCCGCCCACCAGACACAAACACAAACAGTTAACATGTGGTGCAGTCAAAATAGGAATATTGTTCTTATCAGTGGCTCCTATACCACTGACCTGATCACTGATCACTGGCCACTTTATTAGGTACACCTGTTCAATTGCTTGTTGAAGCAAATATCTAATCAACGAATCATATGTCAGGCAACCATATGTCAGGAGATACAGGCTTCAGGTAATGTTCACATCAAACATTAGAATGGGAGAGAAAGGTGATTTATGTGACTTTCAGTGTGGCAGGGTTTTGGTGCCAGACGGGCTGGTAATTTCAGGCACTGCTGATCTACTGGGATTTTCACGCACAACAATCTCTAGGGTTTACAGAGAATGGGGTGAATAAGAAAAAATATCCAGTGAGTGGCAGTTCATTGGATATTTGATGACAAAGATTAGAGAAGAATTGTCAGGGTGGTGCCCGTAGGACCCTGTCCCCATTTGGCCAATAGGTGTCACTGGCCATCCTTCTACCTCCTCTCTATCTTGTAGCCCCTCAGTCCCTAGTGTGTTTCCCCACTCCCTCGGCTGCTGCGTAGCTCAGTGGGTCGAGTGTGTGGTTCAGAGGTGGAAACTCTCCAGTCATGAGTTCAAGCTGACCAGCTTCATGTTTTGTTTAATGTATATTGGTTTTATTTTATCCTTAATGTTCGGTATTTTTCTATGTCTTGGTTTTGTGTCCCTGTTTTTGGTCTACCCTGCTTGTGCTTTGTTTAATTATTGTTCTCCCTGTACTTTTGTTCCCATTCTCTCCTAGTGTTGTTAGCTCTCAGTGTTTGTTAATGTTTCCTAGTTCCAGTGCTTGTTAGTTGTGACTTATTCAACCTGTGGTTTGGTGTCCCTGTGCCTCTTCTGATCGGTTTTGGTTATATTCTACACCTGCCCATTGTTTGCCCTTGTTACCTGTGTAGATTTAAGTGCCTGTCCTCCTTCTGTCCTTTAGTCTGTCATTGTAGAAGTTACTGTGTGTTAGTAGCTGTAGTTGTTACTGTGTGTTTTTCTCCCAGTACTGCTCCCAGTTCTGCTCTGGTTC